AATGAACAATCACCCGCTCAAGCATATTGCTTAGGACTGCATCCACGCCAGACAACGAATAAGCTCACTCGCTCGCTTCGATGCTTTGCCGCTGCCGCTGTCGCCTGTTTCACGTTGAACCCCCAGCATGCAGAAACTGCACGTGAGACTGCGTTTGCCCTTCCCCGGCCGGGAACATCTTGAACCAAACAACTAATTCAAGAACTGGCTAGTTGGAACGGTGGCTTTTTGAACAGTTGTGTCTTGCGCGCTGCGAGTGCTAGGACTTATGGAAATTCAGCAGGACCAACACTCCATCGGAAAGTACTAGCCGACATGTCGAAATACTAGCCGACATGTCGAAATGGCCACGGTCAAATAATGACGTGGCCCCTACTCAAATGGCCAATAGGGCGCAAAGCAAACGAGAGGAAGGAAAGGGGGAGGGGGGCGGAGAGCTTATTTGCTCGAGGCAAATTCGGCAGAAAATAAGCTGGAACTAAGTTTGAAACAAGCTGCACATAAGGCCGACGTTCGGCTGGCCGTTTTGCAAACCGCCGCACGCCCGTAGAACATTGCTGAGGCCATCCACCCTTTCTTATTTGAGTGATGCCTACGGGCAGCAATACGTCTATTTCATTTCGGCCTCTGAGAAATAATCGCATCTGGAAGCCAGCCACCTTTTTGAGCCCCCCTGAAGACCCAGCTTGCCTTTGGTGCATGTGCCCAAAAACAGGTTAGAGACAAACTGATGTGGGTGTATTTGGTTTGATAGGAAGTCTCTCTTTGGAACTATCATCAACCCATACGGGCCTCTCCATCCGGGCCATAAAAGCACATGACTGTTGCAATGTAGGCTTGAATGCCAAACCCGCAATTGAGTGACAAGCGCGCTAGCGCGCGCCTTTTTCTTAGCTGGTTTGGGTGAACTATCTGAGCTCTCACCGCTGCCCCTTTCACTTTCGGATTGGCATTGTCTCGTTTGGAGAGCTTTGACTTGCAACCACAGTCTAGAAACACTCAGGTGGTTGTTGTATGTTGTCTGCTAGCGTGCTGCTGCACGCGCAGCAAGTGCGAGGAATTGACTATGTGTTCAGTTTCTTTCCGGCCACTCTTGCACCATCGCAGAAGGAGCCACTGCGCAGGATGCATAAAACATCTGCATCTCTCATGTGCCGCCTTGACAATTTTATGGCCATGAGTCAAAAGGACATACCCGCAGTGAACATCCCAATCCCCACTAAAACAGGACGCCTAAAATGGGTGGTGAATTCACCTACCAACCAAAATGGGATCCCAAAACGGTTTTGAGAACCACAGCCATTTGGAGCCACAACTGCAAGCTTCTCCGCCCTAGCGCCGGGCAACCCCCACTGAGCCAGCGGTTTCTTTAGCCAACAGCTCAGGTTTCTTCACCCAACTGCTAATTCCGCGTGCGGCCCGCCTTGAGATAAACAAGCAAAAACCAACAAGGAGTTTCGAACACCCCTTGAAAGTCGCAAATACAGCATTTCTGTCGGCCTGGTGCGTGCATGTGCAGATGAAGGTGTGTGTGTGTGGTGTGTGTGTGTGTGTGCAAATGAAGGTGTGTGTGTGTGTGTGGGTGCGCGTGCGCGTGCGCGTTTGCGCGTTTGCGCGTTTGCGTGTGTGTGTGTGTGTGTCACACGCACGAGATGGAAAGGATCCAAACGGCAGCCCAACGTGTTTCTAAGCACATCCAAAAACAAAGCTCTGGCCAACCGTTTCTGGGCTGCCCTCAGATCCCCCGCTATTTGTTTTCTTTTTGTGGGTTACATGGAAACTATCACTAAACACTAAAAGGCTAAAAGGCTAAGGGGATGGCTGGGAGCCACCAAGGTTTGTGGCAGCTTGTGATTTATTGCGATTTCCTGGCCGAACTGCACCACTACTGCACCACTTCGAAGATGCAAATGCCCTTCTGTGAGAACAAGCGCCACAGAACAAGAGCCTCACAAAAGGGCCCCATTTTGCTCGACCTCCGATTTGCTGGGGGCAACAAAGAGTTTAACCAATTGCGTGCCAGTGAGACTGTACAGTTCTTTCCAAAAGCTTCCAAGGTGAGTTCTCTCAAATCAAACAACCCCCTCCACAACCAATGAACGCAGCCAAATACTATGTCCAATCCCCTGCTTGGCCAATCTGAGCCAGCGAATTTCCCGCCGCCCCAAATCGAGTCGCACCAGGAGACACTTCAGAACCAATGCTGACATGCTAAAACCAGTACTAAACAAATACTAAACCAATATTGAACCAAATCGAAACTAACCCAAAACACCAAAATGAGATGAACTTCTGCTATCTAAATATTCCTTGCTCGGAAATTGCCGTTTTTCGTTTGACTGTTGGGCCCGGAAAGGGGGGGGGATTGCATGGAGGGGAGAAGCGGAATCGCGGAAGCCGACTGGTATCATATTGATGTTCGATCCCCGTCTGAGGTTCCCAGCAGCTCGACCAAGAAGCTGTCTGAGGATTGGCATGGTGCGGAGCTGCAAGCATCTGC